GAATGCTAGGTTGATGGGAGGGGTTAGTGTTAGTCATTACTGCAGATGTTATTTGTTCAGATAAAGCTCCTGTGTGCAGCAGAGCTGGTGATGCAGTCAGACAGCTCACTGCTCCTGCATGACTCAGTGTCCCTCTCCGGCTGTAACTCATCAGCGTGCCTGGAAGCTGAAAGAATGTGCATGCTGACTGAAATATCCATATGTCTCTATTCATTCACACAACACCTCATCCCTCCAGAGACTTTGAGAAAATCTTCAGAAACGTCTTTAAGTTCTGCTCAGCGCTCTGATGTTTTCTGCCCCCCGTCCACGTTCTCTGGCAGAGATCTCAGACCTCTCCTTGTCCACCTCCTCCCTCCGTCCAGCCGCATGGACGGCCTGCGGGGGGGAATTTCTTTCTGGAGAACCAGGAGGGCCCGTCCCCTCTTCTCCGGCGAATTCCCGTCGTCTCCAGCAGCCCCCCGGCTTGCGTCAGGGTCCTCAGTAGGGGGTTTCGGAGCTCTTTCGCACTGCTCAGGTCGTGCCCGGCTGACATCGCTGCCTCTCCTGGGGCAGCAATTGCAAACCAGAGTCCGTTTCGCTGATCCAGATCAACTTACATCTCTAGGCTGCAATGACTTTCTATTTCAAATCAATTTGAACTCTTCCAGCACCTGCTCTGGGCTTCTTCCATGCCACGTCTCTGTCTCTCAATTTCATTTTCAAAGGCAGAGCAGTTCCGAATCACTGCCGGTTCTGATCTCATCTGCCTCCTAACATCATTTCCAACTCTTCCGTCAGATCACCCAGACAACGTCATTTTTAGCAGGAACTAAAGTTCCCATTGGTCTGCTTGGAAGTGAGTTCCATCATTCCTTCTCTCTCCTAACACTTCTACCCTGTAGTGATGGGGTCACAATTCTGTCATAAAGGCGCCGTCCTTCGGATGAGTTGTAAAACCGAGGTCCTGACTCCCTGTGGTTATTAAAATTCCCAGGGCATTTCTGGAAAACAGTAGAGGTATTAACCTTGGCGTTCTGGCCATATTTCCCTCTGGTCTTTACCAATCATGGCCTCCTAATAATCCCTCTCTCTGAACTGGCTTCATCACTCTGTTCTCC